AATAAAATCTTACCCTACAAAATTAAATAGATCTATAAACATAAATGTAAACTTAGTGCCTCATCAGTCCTCAAGAAGAATGACTGTGGCTGTCTTATGTGACATTTGAAAGGCGAGAATATAAATTGTAAATTGATGTATATGAACCTACATTGAGCTGTCAAATATCAGTAAAATACAGGCTTCATTAACAAAATATAATAACTAAAATATAAATCGACATAAATCGAAAAACCTTATCTGTGACTCTCTGAGGGAATAGGAAAATAAAGACAAAGAGAACGTAACCAACACCATTATTTATAAATTGCCTATTCGTATGTCAACGTTACCTCATCAACATGAAGATTATTTTAGTCAGCGTAATTCTTTTAGTGTAATCCACACATATTTATATTCATGTCCCTCAGGAGAGCATCCAGAGCCAGCAGATTTATCATATATCAGATATTATTACATATTATTCACCTCTACATTTTCTACTTTTGAATTCAGCTTCAGCTATCTTATTCAGCGTACTGTCTGGCACATTACATCATTTACTGATTGTGGTACGGTATATGTTTTTCTCAGGATAACAAAGTGAGATTACACTGCATCACATTTGCATTCTATCTGTGTCTGTGAATCCTAACCAGGGTTCATTTGACTGCAGAGGGATGCTGGGAGATGGATTGTGGGGTCCTCTGGTGGAGAACAGATTTCATTGCAGGCATGGCTTCGTGTACCCTGTCCTAGTTACCGAATGAGTTAACCTGAGGATAGATTGTCACTAATCCACCAATCAGATTACAGAAGCTCTTTGCTACAGAGGGTTGCTTTAGTTAAGAGAAGAGAGGCCATTTAAAGTTCACTATGTGTTATTAATGGCATTTTTATTACTATGCCCTTTCTGCTGCAGTGACCAATCTTTTCTTCTATGTAATTGGACCTAATTTTAATAGAGATTAAATGCTCTCTATACAATATATTGAGAGGGTTGTTATTCCTTAAATGAGTAGGTGAATGGCTGATCTGTTTTATGCTGTAGCAAACTGTTTCAGCATGTCATTATCCAGGTAGTCCTCAAAACTCTTTTTTGATATTTTACATTTTGATATTTTTTATTTTACCTTTTTAAGATAATATGTTACTAAACGTTCCATAAGATGGCCAAAAAAGTCCCTAGGAAATTTCTAAGAATCATTCATCCTCATCAGTTTATTTTAGTGAACTGTATAAACTGTCATTATAGCATCACCCACATTATTTAACACAGAAAGACAATGTCTGTGTTTGTTTATTACGTTTCATTTTATTTATTTATATTTTACAAACTCAGAAGATAAAACTCAATAAACTGATAGCTATTTTACATAACATTTACATTAACAGTATCTCCTTTTTAATCAAATTAGCCTATTTTAGCTAGTTAATGTTGGCTAACAAGCTACTGTAAGTGTAGATCCATGTTCTGATGACATAATTAGACTTAGTATAGTAGACTTTAGTAGCTTAGTATCATAGTATCATAACTTATAGAGAGAGACTGGAATAGCTGCTGGTTTGATATGTCTTTGTAACTGTTCACTTTTATATATTTTATTGACAATTATGAGAATATTCACTCAAACTTCACTCATTTAATAGAATGCGAGAATTCTGAATTTCAAATAATTATTTTGACCAATATTCTGAAGATACTCTTTATTGTATTGATTAACAAAAACTATTGATCCTAATAAATGGTCACTTATGGAGGAATGTATGTTCCAAAGACACGTGAATCTCTTAATAGAGAAGGAGAAGCTGAGTTTGAGAAAATATTGTTTGTGTCCATAGAGACGAGTGCAACACATCCCCAAGCTGCATTATTGGAGTTGTTTTGTAAAGAGAAACCAGGAGAAATTGTCCACCACCTTGGAACAGCTCCACTGATGACGTGGGGAGGCAGAGAGAGCATTATGACTAAGTGTGTGCCAGGGTCGAGTAGAGCACAGGCTTCATGTCAGTATTCATCATCTGGCAGCTTTAGTTCCCATGATGATCAACACAATCTTTGCAGCTTTCTTCAAATCTGAGAGCTCAAGCACAAACAACAATGCTTTCATATGCAGTGCTTTATATGCAGCTTTGAGGCAAAGTGCAAATGAAGACAAAATGAAAGGGAGGACAATATTCTTGGAATTGTGAAATGAATCTACTCTCAACATGCTCAGAAATCTTGACCCTTGAAAATTGGAGTTATTAAAGGGAACAATAAAGAACTACAATATCAGTTCCAAGTACATATTTGGAGCTTACTCATTATGATGTTTCCCTTGTGGGACACCATAATTACATTTGGGGTTTCCATTTGTCAGAATAATAAGATGGTTTCTTAAAAAGTCTGATGATGTAAAAAATTCAGTCCAGTGACTAAGAAAAGCAGTACAAAAGCAGTACAGTTCAAATATAATGTTACATAAATATCATAGAAGACTACTGTTGACCCTGGTTGTAAAATATAAGCTTATCCTGTATTCTGTCAGTTCCTTTAATCCTCAGAAGTCTTGCGCAATCAGTTTTTGCTTGCCAGCACTATTCTGTTGTTGTATTATTTCATTATTAATTTAAATTGTTATAGGGGAAACAGATGATTTATTCAATAAAGGAAAAACTATCTTCAGTGCAGCTTCATTGCAATGCATGATTCTATCAAAAGGAGAAAACAGACAATATTCACAGCCCAGCACTCAGTCACAGGTGCTGCATAGGAAATAATTCCACTTTCAGGCTCTTCATCAGCCTGATACAAGGTGCAGACATTATTGTAATCTACTTTCAATAATGTTGTAAGAACCACTTTGCATGCTTAAAATTTTATAAAATGAGTCTCAGGACGGGAACTTGGTTTAAAGGGGTTTATAACATTGTTGACGAGGCATGAGACATAATCATGTCTGTGAGGTTACTACAGACTGCGAATTTTCTGGATGCTGTTGGATTCTATCCACCAAAGGAACTCGAGAACTCTAACCTCAACCTTATACCATGACATTTAATAAAAAACCATTTCCAGCTCCACAGACTCTTGCATGCTTTAACCACAGGTCTGGTATTTGAAATGAGGATTTTCTCAGTGTGCTAAAGGTCTGTACCACAATTACCACTGCCTAGGGGACTTTTAGATCACAATTATTGCTTCTCCCTGTACAATTAGGTGACCCTCGCATTCACCTTTCCTATGGAATAGTGACAGTGATTTAACTGGTTGTTGTTAAAGGGCACCGCGCTCTGTCTCTTCAGGAATTTGTTCTGCTTCAAGACCTCAGCAACTGTAAGCTTTTGCTGACCACAGTTGATAATTTGCGAATACGATTGATGAACCACAAACACAATGAATCTGTTTATATATAGGTTGTCTTTATGTGGCTATGGCTGCTCTTGTTTTGTCCCCAGCACTTGGTGCTTGGTGTAAGTATTGAGCATTATGATCTACAATATGTCCTGATTACTAAAAGGGGTGCTTCACCAATTTTACACATGAAGATCAGTTTAGAGAGAAAATAACCCTGATCAGAGTTTGATTTGACTCAACTCAATTTTTACCGAAAAGCCTGCAGTGCAAACTGGAGTTTAAAAAGTAGATTACAATTTAATAGATTTACTAGGCATAGTCTAAAGCAGTGGCTCCCAACCATTTTCCTTAAGAGACCCCTTTTTTATCATTGAGTTAACTAAGTAAGTGACATATATTATGGATATTTCATATTATGTTAAATTCATAACAATTCTTTACTGTGAATGTTGATGAGTTTTCCTGATATTTGTAGGAACTTTTATTACAATCCTCTGTCTGTATTATGTATTTGTATAATTTCTAACACTCATACATACTTAATAGGCTTCTTTTTTGCTAAATTCTGTGTTTTCTTCTCATTGTTCCGTTAGCTCTTTGGTTTGAACTTTTCTAATAATATCAGAGAGTGAAGGCTCTGTGAATATAATTTGTGTTCAGGGCTTAACTGTGCCCTTGTGCTTAATTATTTTTGTTAATAACTGTTTATATCTTGAATAATAATCTAAACTTTAAAAATAATAATTTTATTTAGTTTTATTCACAGAAATGTGTGCTGATATATGCTGACCTATAGCCCCGATGTGTATATTTTTATAAAAAATGTTAATGTCTTACATGCCATAAAATGAAGACGTCCTTGCAATCCTCTGTGATGCTTTGGCGACCCCCAGGTTGGGAACCACTGGTCTAATGAAACATGCTGTTGAGTTGCATTTATGTCTCTTGCAAGTCTCCCAAGTTAATGTAAGTGCAATACTAAAGCACTGGAGTAACTGTTTAAGTGCTTTCGCTGAAGCATACTTTGTATTAGTTAAACAATGACATAATTAGTTCATTTATTTAAAAAAGGAAACAGATACTAGGAGATACAAAGGTATGAATAATTGTGTTTATTAATAAACAAATTATAAAAATGAAACATGAAACAGAAAAGTAACATTGGTTAAAAAAAATTCTCCCTTGAGAATAGTAGTTGAGATTGGCCTTTTTTTTAGCTTGTAGCACACAGAAAGATGGAGCAATCCAATATTTATTAACACATTTTAATATTTGTGGACCATTATCCATTCTTTTTTAAATCGATAACAGTTGGGAACACCTAAAACCACCGAGCCACCAAGACACTACATAGTATTTGAACTGAATGAAGTGAAAGTTCTGCACTGTAATCTGTAGTAATGTTGTGATGCCAGGTGTTGGATGAATTCCACATATTGTAAACATGAAATTGTGTCATATGTTTTTCTCTCTGAGATACATATAATGCAAAAGTAAATCCCAGAGCATGTTCCAGAGCACATTTCGCCACCACTTTATTATAAACATTGTGGAGGTGTGTTACCGCTGCAAAGTGGATAGAATTAGTGCTTCCTCTCTTCCCAGTGGAATAAACAACACCATGTTAAGTCCTTGGTAAAGCCTTCTAAACCGTAATCCCACTGGCCTTTCATTGGCCCCTTTAGTCTCTGTGCAAGGACTGTCCAACAACACACAGGTCCGGCTGTGATGCAGAGCGTGCTGTAGCTCTGAGGTCTGATTGGCTACCCCATAATTCATCATCCCTGGTTGGTTCATCATCCAGCCTGTAAGAATGAATGGAGAATGTTGTCAGTAGCAATTAGGAAAGTGGGCCAGGTGGGTTTGTGTCAGATATAAACAGGAATGGTGCGTTACTTTAGCTTGTAAAGTGACTGATGTAAGAGTTCATGCAAGGCCAGGTGCAAAACCCCCTAAAATTAGACATTCACTTTTTCTATTAAATTTTTTGGAGCGTTACTAGAGACCATTGTGACAAACAGTCTATGATAAATTAAAAATTAATGTAGCTTTCAACACAGAAATGGCAAGATAAATGCATAATAGAGAGAATTAAATGCAGGGGGATTTAAATGAGTGGCTTTATATATTTTATATTATATGTGATTTAGTCACTAGCTGATGTCTCTATAATTCAAAATTTTCTCTTTTATTCTTGATGTACTCTCAGTACATCTCTTGAGCATGTCATCATTATGTCTAAATTGGGCTAATACATCACTGAATGATAATCTAATAATGTGGTATAACAACATTCTCAAATAAGTCCGATACTTAAACTTAAAAAAATATTTGTATTTGAGGCAACTACATCTGCATATCTCAGACATAGTAGATGGGTAATCATGTTTGTGCTATGATATTGTGGCTTTGCTGCATTTTCTGTCAGTTAAGTTCTGACTTTCATTCAAAATTTTCCAAAAGATTTCCTAGAAATGGGCTGGGTATTTCCTGGACCTGGTTGGTGTTATGTGGCACTATATAGTACAGTTGGTAGGTAAATGCTCATTATGGTTTAAAAAATAAAATCTATATGCAGTTTGACAAACAAAACTAAAAGGTTTCTAGTCAGGTTTTAAATTGTAAACATACATTTAAAATTAAAATGTCATAAACTTACAATTGAATGATTTTTTTTTTGCATATTAACTGCTTCTTATAAACTTAAACAACTTTGTAATTTGATGAGTTAATACTTACTAACTAAAGACATTCTACACTTTCCTTATAATTAGTGCCAAGTTACTCATTGCAGGAATTTGACATTCCGAAATGCCAACATGAAATTAAAGTACCTGTAAGATAAGCCATTACCAAAGATTGAATGAAAAGCCATATTTAGTGATTCATGACGTGTAACATAGAAATATTGTAAACACTCACCCCTGTGAATATATTGCTGGCTCACTCCCACAAGTCTCAGCCACAGAGATGCCTGGAGATCTTGGTGGCAGACTTAGACTTGGCCTTCGGTCTGAATAGCTACGTCGGATGAAGGGTCGAGGTCCTTGAACAGATACAGGAAACCTCCCACGACTACCCCAAGAACGTGAGAGAAAGGAGACCCCGGTAGAGGTCCATGCTTGAGGGGGTCTGGGAACTGGACAAGGCTTGGCCTCAAACAGGGATGGAGACGCAGGGCAGAAGACTGAACGTGCATTACTGATCAACCGAGCACTAGGTAAGTCTTCACTGCTGTTCTCTCTTGACCATCTTTGTACTTTTGGTGAGGCTGGTGGAGACGGTGCTTTAAAAGGGTAGGAGGAGGGTGAGTTTGAGTTCAAAATGTTCTGCTTTGCAACAGGTGGACTGGGGAGCCTCCTCTGAACTGCTGGTGGTGTAGTGAGTTTCCTGTTAGCTGGAGGGCTAGCTGAAGAGGTTGGAGTAGATTGCCTTTTGAAGCTGTGGGGACTGGGAAGTCTTCGATGCAGACTGCTTGATGTAGAAGGGGTGGATGGTAACATTCGCCCCCTAGACATGGGTGGGGTGGCAGGTGGTTGGCTACTGACTACTGAAGAAAGAGGCACTGTAGACACTGTAGTGTTAGGTCCAGGCACTGAAAGGTTACCACCATCATTTATGTCTGCTGATTCTTCTTGATTGGCAGATGGATTTGTTGCTACACCACTTGTTGACAGTTTCTCTGAGTCTGAAGAGTGTCTTAGGTGTATTATCTTTCTGGCTTGCTGGTACAAGGAATTCTTTACATCTCCTGGGTCTACCTCCAGTTGAACATCTGATGGGCTGACCTTTAACGGAGCAGATGGGTCCTTTTGTTCTGTTCTAGCAAAGGAAACAACCTTGGAAGCTTGTGGCAGGCCTCCTTTACTTGGAAGCACTGTCACTGACTGAACTGAGGCCCTCAGTCGTAGTGATACTGCAGCCCTTTTTAATACAGGGGATTTTTTTACTTTTGTAGCCTCTTCATCTGCTACACCAGTTGAAAGATTCTGGGCACTTTCAAACGAATTGTCCATTAACACTTCCAGTGGAGGCGGAGGCAGACTATCCAGATCAAAATAATCATTTTTCTCAGATGAAGAGGATTCAAGTCTACAACTCGTTATCCCAGTGCTGAGCACAGCTTCTACATTTCCTAAACCAGGTAACACAGGAACACCACACTTCCGTACTCCTTTGAGAGGCCCCAGAACTTCAGGACCGTCTAGTTCCACTATTCCTTGACTGAAGGTATCTATCAGTTTTTTGACTGAGTTCCGCCCTCGGTAAAGACCAGATGATGGTCGAGGTGATAAAGGAGGGCTAGGGGGTGGGGTGGCTTTTATAGGACCCTTGGATGTTTTCTTGTCCTTTGATTTATCTTCTTCGACATCACTGGTTACCTCTGTTTTTTTATTGTTGCGTTTTGTGATGCCTGCTTTATTCTTAAGTGGTTGGGGATTGCTGTTTTTCTCTAGCAAGGGATGTTTACGATTGATTGCTGGTGACTGAGCTGGAGAGGTTCCTTGGCTTTGTTTAGGTTGAGTAGTCATCATGTTTCCACCTGCCTTGTTTTTACTCATCCTCTGCATCTTCTGGTTTAAATCCTTCTGGGTTCTGTCTAGTTCAATCAGAGTAGGATCTTCACCTTTGCTCCGGATGGATTCCGCTGACTGGGAACGTCGCTCCCTAGCCACTGGCGTCTTTTTTACCACTGCCTTCCGAATAGGTGCTGCTGTTTGAGGCCTCCTTGGAGATCGTTCCTCCTCGTCCATCCACTGGCGTCTACTGGTTTTTGGGCTGCCAACTACCTTTGTTTTGGCACTAGAGTTCTGTGATGGAACAAACTGTATCCTACCACTTATTGCATTTTTCATTTTGAGAGTCATTTCTACATTTTGAGGATTCTCTATGCGTTTTGGGGGTAGGCGGCGTGGGCATTGTTTCCCACAGTGTACAGGTGAAGAATTTGATTGCTTTGTTAACCCTACTCGCACAGCTCCCATGCCTCTATCCATCTCATCATCATCATCATCATCATTATCTTCTTCCTCCCCATCATCTAAGGAGACTGATCCTAGCAATGAGTCTCTTTGTTCATTAGCCATAATGGTACATGTAGAACCTAATGAGTTGAGTGAGGTAAGAGAAACACTTGGACTTATTTTTCTTGCAAGCTTTTGCCTTGACACTCCTTGCCTAATGCTCATGGGGGTGTATCCCATAGGACTGACAGGAGTAGTTCTATTTGTCCCGGTGGACTCACAACTCGCTCGTCTACGCCGCCTTTCAGATCCAGCGAGGGATTCATTCTCTGCCCCAATACCACTGTCTTCACTAAAGAGAGCAGAATCCTCTGGCCCAGGCTTGCGCAGAGAGGCCATTTCAATGCGAGATAAGAGTTGCATTAGCCTAGTCTCTACTGCACGTTTGACTTTTAGTTTCTCCTCTAAAAGTTCTGAGACAGAGGCAAAGTACTCTACTGCCTCTTCCAAAGCAGAGTCCCCAATTCCACCAACAGTCTGGCTTACATTTCGCATTCTCTGTGTGGTGTACTGAAGCAGCTGCTGCAACAAATCCGGTGGGGGCTCAATATTAGCAGAGCCAGACTTCAGAGGTGGAGAAGATGAGAGGTTTTTCATTTGACTTGGCCAAGCAAGATGTTCTCCATTTTCTTTTAAAACTTTTTCTCCCTCGTCTGCCATCTCTTCCAGTCCCTGAATTATTTCCTCATAGCGTAGGGCCATGAAAGCAACCATAGGCTGCACAGAAACCTGTGTATGGGTTGCTTGTTCCAAAAGTCCTAGTAAAACGTCATATTTATTTATGCTAGGATTCAAAAAGGCATAAGCAGCTTGGTGAGCTTTTACCAAAGGTTCTGGGAAGTCCACTTTCTGTTCTGTAGGTGGTTTGTCTTTATCCTTGTCTTTCTTTTTGGGCACCTTAATACCTCTGGTATTTTTCTTTGGTTTTCTGCCAGGCTTTTTTTCTGTCACATCTTGCTTGTCAACATTTTTCTCTTTTCTCTGTGAAACTGTATTGTCTTCCATTCCTTGACTTCCCAATTTGTCCATGTTTACTGCTTCAGGTGCTAGCTCAGTCACAGATCTCTTTTTCTGTGGTGTCATATGAGCCTCTTTCTGAAATACCTGGGTTTGTCCGGCTGCCTTCCTCTCCTTTGTATCCCCATCTGTTGATACAGCTGAATTTCGTGTCTCTCCATTTTCAAAGTGGGACTCTCTGGGGTCTTCTTGAGGTGCAGGGGGCAGCATTCTCCCCTTCCTCATGGGACCCAAAGCCCCAAAATTGTTACCTTTGGATGGTGAGCAGCCCATTTCTGATGTATTTAAATAGAAGCTTCTGTCTTTGTGGAGACACCAACACAGCAGTGCAGAGAATTATACAAAGAATAGCCAAAGTCCTTAGCCACCTGCTGTATCTGTCATTTTCAGATGGCTGAGGTTGTTGAGTCTGATAAGATCCTTTTCCACAAGGATGTTACCAAAACAAAATATTGATAAATCCATTTTACAAATTTCTCCCACCTGTCATAGATGGGCAAAATAAATCCACAGATCAATGCTCATGTTTTCAAAAATTTCCTTGTAGCGTGCTCTGAAACACATCCCTCTGTACCTTACAAAGGACAAGCAGCTGAAAGGATTAGTGAGGCTTTCAGTGAACTCCTCAGCATGCACATATGTCACGTTAAAGCATATAAAACTCACCTACTCGTAAGACCTTAAGCTCATTTGGGTACTGCAGGCTGGCCTCAGGTGGCTTTTTATAGCCTGCAAAACAATATCTCCCTATTCAGCCCTATACGGCCATTTCCATAAAAATACAAAGACTAAATTTAAAGAAAGTGAAAGTGTTTCTTTTGAGTTGCATTACAGTTGCAGTTATATGCAGATATCATGCACAAATAGTTTCTACCGACTTATATTATGTCAACAGGGATATGATATAGAAATTTTTAATTGTGCATATGACATGATATCTTAAAACAGACTTAAATATTTTTGTCAAGCAGTTCTAAGTTATTCTGGTTAATTACTGATCTTCATTTAACTTCTATATCTAGAATCAATTCACTGGAACAGTGAGGTAAGCTTTAAAATAACTGGAACTCTGCCTCTGTAAACACTGAAATAAAAAAAGAAAAGATTATACTAATCTTTCCTCTTTCGCTTTTCTTTTTAAATCCGTCAAAAAATGACACACTGTAATGAAAACATTAGAAATATATATATATACATATATTTAGGATGTAGGCTGAGCAGAGCCTACATGTGATAAAGGCTTTTGATAAAGATATAGTTGGTCATTTTTGCCCATAAGTTGCTACAGTTGATTTTGGACATGTTAACCAAATTTGTTTGTAGAAACCTTTAAAATCCCTTCTTTTGGTTACTCTTTAAAAACATATTTCTGGTTATGCCCTGTGCATTTAGTATAAATTAATCTTTTGCCCCTATTCATGCCCTACGTAACTTGTTTGCCTCAAGATGTTCTTGTACTACACTCATTTAAACAACTGCTTTGCATTTTCCCCTTGTTTTGTTAAATACTTGTTTAAATAAATTTTCCTTTTATGTATTTGTTTATTTTATAATCTCTACCAAGTCAGCATTTAATTATTGTTTTGCAAAAATAATAAAAAAGAACCAGTTTGTTTAAGCCCCCATTTTCACAAATTAAAGCTAACTATGCTCAGTCGGTACTCAGATCAAATATTCTAAATCCCCTGGACTGTCTGGCTTCTTCCATGCAATACCACATCCTTATAAGTTAGGATACTGAAAATAAGATAAATTAATCAAATCAGATGTTTGTTTATTTATTGCAATTTGCAAATGACACAACATTTAGGCCTTTTGTGCTGCCGCCCCACGTCTGTGGAATGCCCTCCCTGACACCCTGAAGGCACCACAATCCCATCTGACTGTTTTTAAAAAGGATCTTAAAGAACATTTCTTTTTAGCAAAGCTTTTGGTCCCTTTTAGATGTTTTTATTTTTTATTTCTTTTTCTCCTTTTCTTATATTATTTTTAAAACTGCTTTTTTTCCTAACCTGTAGCACTTTGAGATCCTCTGATGAAAAGGGCATCTATAAATAAAATGTATTATTATTATTAACAATGTAAATCAAACATAACATGTTTGGCAATAGAAAATATTGATCTTGAATTACTTTTTAAAGCAGGCCTAATAAGAGTTGGGAAAGTAAAGATGGACTAAACTCGTGACAGATGATTTTTGAGTGTGAATTTTATATTAGGCTACTTTAATTGTGGTAATACTAAACTACTAAATCTAATTGGGTCTCAACAGCTCAACAACCATTTGCCCAGTAGCCTATTACATTTTTAATTTAATTAAAATTCTGACATTATTTATTTAATTTTACCAGCAGGCTATTAACTATCATTGTGGAAAAGAGAGAGTGTGATTCCAACTAACGGTTAACTTGAATACTAACATCAACTGTTTTCATACAATTTATCTTTAGCTGAATTTGACTTTATCAAATCCAGATAATGTTAAATATTTTACACTTTACACACAGACAGGAGGGGGGTGGGGGGGGGATTGCTGAAGAAAAACGTCTTCTCGGTCTGCGCGTCCCCGCGTGCAGGTGTACTGCTGGGCGATTGGCGCGGATCCTGACGCGCGTTCCCGAGCTGCCATCTCCTCTGGTCAGTCCCTTGTAATGACTGATGACTGCCTTATTCTCAGTTTTTGCCTTTTAAAATCGGTAAATATTAGCGTTCTCTGCCGTTATTAAGGACATTTTCACTTCAGCTTTTTGAGCAGTATGTTCTGCCCGGCTGTGGCACTGATACAGCTGTTTGTAACTACTTTAAATCTGCCAACTTTTGATCGGTTTTCTAGGTAACGTTACTTGCTCAACTCTAGTTCATTCCCTGATATCAAAAGGGACGTCCGCGGAGGTGAGGACGTTAAAGTCAAATTTAACTTCAACAGCCGCCACTGTTGTTTATATAACAGTAAACTTTAATCTAACTTTAGATTAAATTATTTTTTTGTTTATCAAGCCATAGCTAGTTTGTTAAAGTTAGCATAGCTTTGTAAACGCTGGAAGCTGTCAGCTATTTTGCCAGGCGGCTGACAGCTAGCTTAGCATCCAGTCATCATTAAGCTGTTAGTGGGTGGAAGTCCGGTTAAACTTAATGATGTAATAGAAGCAATATGAAGGAACTTCCTCAAGTATTTGATGTTATTTGTACATTTTTCACCCTCATACCTCTCTGTTTGCTCTCAGAGCACACTACAGATGCCCTAAAGTGCAGCATGATGAAGCATACACACCGGTGGTGCCAGACCCCCCCCTCAGTGACTGTCCGGGTCAGACCCAACAGTTCACACTCCCTCCAGATCAGAAGAGGCCTCCGGCTCAAAAGAACCAGCGGCCAGGACGCCCAGGGCCCGGCAGGGAAAAGCCAGCCGAGCCAGCGCCGGGAGCAGATGTATTATGCCAAAATGACCATTCCCCCAACTATTGTCATCCAGCGGCAAGAAATGGCATCATTCTTTAGACTTTTTGGTGAATAAATAGCCCCAATAAAAACAATCATCACAGTGATGGATCTTACTTTGAAACTTTGAAAGAATGAGGAATATTTGATATGCAATAATAATGTTTGGTTGCAGATGATGACCTGATCCAGGACTTCTTGTGGATGGACTGTTGCTGTAAAATGACTGACAAGGTAAATTGTTGTTGGAAATATTTAGGTGAAATTAAGCCTGTCTGAAGCCCTATGATGCCTCTCACCCCAACTTTTCTCTCCAATTCATCAGTACCTCCTAGCCATGACCTTTGTGTACTTCAAAAGAGCCAGCTTCACTATTGCTGAATACAGCAGGAAGAATTTATTCATTGCACTGTAAGTTTCAAACTTTCTTTTGAATCTTGTTTTTCCCCATATAACATGAAGGTTGTGTGCCACAAGACCTCAATTTGCAACGTCTCTAGGTATCTTGCCAACACCATGGAGGAAGATGAGGAGGAGAGCAAGTATGAGATTTTTCCATGGGCACTGGGCAAGAACTGGAGGAAGCAGTTTCCGCGCTTCCTCAAGCAGCGAGACAAGCTGTGGGCTCGCATTGAGTACAGAGCTGCTGTCAGCAGGCGCTGTTGCGAAGAGGTACACACAACTGTGATTGCCTCAGGAGACAGATAAATTGTGTTTCTCATGTTCTTGTTGCACAGCGTGTTGTAACCATTGCTTTGGTTTCATGCTAGACGCTCCATCTTTGTTGTGTTTTTTCTGTCTCCCTATCTCTGTCCCTCCAGGTGATGGCCATCGTGCCCTCTCACTTTGTGTGGCAGCGGGAGCGGTCAGAGCACCACAGCGGCGCCCAGCGGCAGTACGGCGACCAAGACCATGCTCGTTTTCCCCGCGGGCCCTTGGCTTCCCCGGTCTCCTGCGCCCTCTGTAACCACGGCACCAGGTTAGATCAGGGCCCAGGCTCCTCTTACCCCTCCAGAGGCTCTTCTGCACAGAACCCTGCCTTTCCACACCCATTCACCCCCACACTGAGCTTGGAGACCACCCCACCTAGGGCCGCAGCCTCTCGCAGGAAGGTGGTGGAGACTAAAATCCAGGCACAGCATTCTTCCTGCTGCTGCGTTGAGGAGGTTCCTAGTAGGTATCACTAAAACAGGTGTGCTGGCTAAATCTCATTTTTAAATCAGTGTCAAATCTGGACATACTCACATCCTTGATACAGCTCGCCCAGTTATGACCTTAGGTCATGTTCCTTAAAAGTACCGTGATCGTCCCACAGCGTCCTCTACACAAACCTTAGGAGAAAAATAAAAAAAACAACAACACATAGACACAGTCTATTGAAAATTGGATTTAAATGTTGGTTTTCCTCCAGGGACTATGTGACCAAATAATGTACTATAGTGTGTAGGACTTAGTGGCAGATTACAGTCCCCTCGCCTCACCCTCCCCTTCAGAGCATGTAGGAGAAACTACGGTGGCCACAAAACTCACAAAAAATTGCCCCATGTAAAGCCAGTGTTTGGTTTGTCTGTTCTGGGCTACCGTAGAAATGGCATTTCAATAAGTCAGGTGATTATACACTAATGAAAACATACCTAGGCTATAGAATAGATCCTCCTAAATGTGACACACTGGACCTTTCAATGCACAGAACTATACAGAGTGCTGAGGTCACAAACGGGGCAAACCCTGATCTGGGCCCCATCTGATGACTGTGAAATCATATCAGTGATCGTACATTAGCAGTTAGCTCCTAACCCCTTGTATTATAGAAGGCTAAGGCTGCCTTAAGCCACAAACTACACGTTGCTCCGAGGATTGATATTTCTTTTGTATTATTCATGGTGCATGTGTTGTTTGCCACACACTTACATACAACAGGCCTAATAGCCGGGTGAAAAGATGACAGTGGCAGTCACTGTTGATGCAGTAGGCGTATTCAATAAATCACTGCTGGATTTTAGGTTTAATGTGAATATAAGCAGCCTGGAACTGCGGCTACATTAATCAAAGCTCACTTTCACTGAACTGACTGTGTGGATTGTGGGTAGAGGTGCTTTAGCTGGATTACACCTGGAAGGTTTTCCACAAAGCAGGATTAGAAAGTGAAAGTGGAAAAGATGGCACTGTATCCCAGTGATACCCACTTCAGTTTGAAAAGAAGCTTGAATATTAGGTTTAGGAGTAGGATTTATTTTATCACATTGAGGACTCCTAGTAATACAATTTCATGAGATATTATGTGTGACTTTTCAAAGCCAGTGTCCTCTGGAACACATCTGTGTACTCAGTAGTAACACTGAAATGAAGCTCTTTTTTCCCCCACAAGTTTCTCGCAGTGTTTTTATAGACTTGTACAAAATAAAACATTAAACTTCAAGGGAAAAGAGCAGAGGTGCTATTTCACATAGCAAATGGCTTTTCCTGGGGGAAACCCTGCACTGTAAAGGTTCAGTAATTTCCTTGTAAGTTTGAAACTACCCTGACAGGATTGGACAGAAACAGGATAGCTCACTTGTATTAAACTACATTTTCCTCTCTTCCCTCTGTGTTAGGGGATGAGTCTTCCTGTGGGTCCACATACGACACCTCCATGGACTGGATCAGTGAGGAGTAGAGCGTCACACCCTCTTTGTACTGACCCGGCTGCTGTCTCCTCTTTAATAGCACTGTAACTCTGAACGTGTAACTCACTAGTTGGCGTGTAGCTCCTCTCGTGTGAACATGGTGCTGACCCAGCATTAACTGGTCAGGACCATGTGAACCATTTAAGTGACTGTAAGTAGCTGCAGCAATGAGCTAATCCATGCAGTAAGATTTATGTGGCACACAAAGTATTGTAATGGGTATTTAACTTGCACTGAGTTGTTGATATTTATTTATTTATTTATTTATGTTATTTATGTACTGAAGCACTTGTTTGATGACCACTTATTCACAGACGGTAAAATATGGAAATGAATTGAAGTTTATGATGTTTACATGTCTTTCACATACTGGGTGTGTTTTTACTAGTGCCTGTGTCATGAGCCAACACTGCCTCTTGAGTTTTGAATAAAGACTTCAACTTTGGCTTCTTGACATTCTTTATTGCCAGCTGCTTTTATGCACCGAACTTTGATTATAGGAGTGGAGAAGGTACATCTTTGTGCCTCAGGCCTTGCAGTCTGCCTTTGTTTCACTTTACATGCAGGCAATTACTGTATATATTTACATAATTGATCCCTATTCACAGAGCCAATTTCTATAAATCTACTGATAAACAATTATCATACATCATCATATTATGAGGGATTTGGGGCTTGGCATTTAGAAGGTAGACATTTTATTAAAATACATACACAAAATAAACCAAAATTAACAGTTTGAACTCAACAGTATACAGTAATGAGATCATTTGGTTGATACTGTATGTAACAATCATTTTTCCTCATTTTCAAGGTTCCTTACGGGGAGGGCAGCTACTGTACACACTTCCTCAGTTTCACCAGGAATGCTAAAAAAGGAGAAGCAGACAATGAGTATTTATTGTAACATTGTTGATAGAGCGCTACACCGGGAGTACAACTGCAGTAATATCTGACCTGTGTGGCTCATCTGTTCAGGATGAGGTCTGGCAATGTAGGGAACACTCCCGAAGGCCGGCTGTCTCTCTGTGCTCATCTCTTCTGAAATATAATAATATAAAACAACTTCAACTGAAGGCAATGCTCAGAAACATCAACATTTATCACAAATAAATACGAGCACGGTGGTCCAATCACCTTTGTCCGATGTCTCATCCCCTCCCCCCTGGTCTTCGTCCATGATCGGGGCTTTCCTGATGCAGAACCTCCCGCTTTTCTGGATTGCCGGAGCTACCAACCAATCTCGGACTGGAACCTCGATGATGCGTTCACACAGCAAAGGGAGCGCCAAACATCGAAGCCCTTCCAGCAGGTCGATGACCTGTGTTACACTGTGTGACAGAGGGACAGTCAGAGGGCAGGAAAGTCTGTTCTGCTGCAACATTACAGCCCAGTCTCAACTATAATATATAAAATATTCATCAGTTTTGCAAAGAAGTGACCGCAACCTGTAAATCTCTTCAAACTACAACCAGTCAGTTTGGTTGCCCTGCAAAACCTCATGCCCCCGTACCCGTGCCTCTCCACAGCGTTAGCCTTTTCAAAACCCCGGCCCCTCTCCACTTGTCTTCTCTAAAACGACCCTCCAGCGCTCTGCAGCCCCGGGGCAGAGGGCCCCAGGCTTCAGAGGCAGCTGAAGGGGGGGGGCTATTTCTTGACTGGGAGCAGTAACTTCCTGGATTCTTTTGTTGTCACTATGAGGTGGGACGTTAAATTTTTGGACAAACTAGCTGTTCCCCCCCCCCGTTTGCAGTCTTTGTGCTAAGCTACGATAACCATCTCCTGTCTATAGCTTCACAGTGAGTGCCAGATATGAGAGCGAGAGAGTTACGGTGACAGTTTAACAGCAGAGATACACACTTGGCGAGGTAGACGGCACATACAGCTCCAGAGTGCAGATGTGGAATCACAGTGGGTAAAGCCAGGTGGGGGTTGATCAGGTCAAGGGAAACCTGCAACAGACACAATCCATCCAATGAATGAGCGGGTGTCACAGAATCAAATTCCCACGGTCTTAATACACGTGACCAGCTGTTGTATTGTTGCACAGTTGTGGTGTGTAGTGTCGGACTCTGTTTCCAAATGGCTCTGTGTTTAAGCCAGACACTGACCGCGTGGAATCCCCGACCGGCGAGGAGCGAGGAAGCATTGCAGAGGTCGGAGTTGTGAAACTGGACGTTGTCGGGCCACTCCTCCCCTCGTCGCAGACTCCATGACGCCCTCCAGCGTCTGTAGTTCAGCACGGCGTTTTTGTGGTGGTCCTCCCTGATCTCCAAACTCAGCACGCTGCCTTTAGAGCCCACTGTGGAAAACAAGAACATATGGTGGAACGTCAATTGTAGCCTGCAGGAATCCACTGCATATATGATCTGTTTGAACATGCTTTTGTGACATTAAGTCAGCAGAAAAGAGGAAAGTGAGAAAACATGACACTTCACCTCTGCCACTGTCATCACAGACACAGTATCTGTTCTTTAAATACAGCATGGAAATGATTTTAACGCTTTTTAAAGGGGACTGTCAATCATTTTTCAGCGTACAGGTTCTGACTGAAATTGCGCTGTAAACCTGATCATCTTTAATTGTTCATGTAATGTATGTTTTGTGCTCATTTAATCAGTTTTTGTTTTTTTTACGTCAACTTTTTAGCTTATTTTACTATTATTTCATTGACTAAAAGAAACTGTATAAGAATAATGATTCTGTTTACAGGTTTCACAATCTTCACTGTTAATCTGCCATCTACAGTCTAATAACCACATGTTATCAGATGGGGAACCCTGAGGCTACATCTTATCTAATACAGGTCTGTGGCCTGACGTGTATCAATTTGGGTGGAGAACATTTGATGTTTATCAAGATATGGAAAATTATGAAAGTCATCACAGTAATTGTTCAAAACTGTTTCCTCTGTTTTGCAATGAGTCAGAAAGCATGTGCGACACAAAAACAATAACAACTAACAACTAATATTTAAGTAGAAATACTGGTTTACTGCTCAGCCCTATGTGTTACGATTATGAATAATTGCAATATGTCGTAAATTACTTATAATATTAAACATCAAGCTGTTTGTAACCAGCAGCAGCTGGGACATGAGAGTGTTAAAGCTCTGTGTGTCTAAACTGGAACTCTTTGCTTCATTTTCAATCTTAATGGAAGAACTCCAAAGTGAGAGAGCGTGATGGGTGCAGACCTGCTCTGGACAGGAACAGAGACATGGCCCCGGACCCCGAGCCTGAATCCAACACGCAGTCTCCCTCTGTGACGTCCATCATCATTAGCATGGTATTTGCATCCTGGTAAGAGAGAAACAAACACACAATATCTGTGAGAAGAACTAACGATCAATACAGGACTATGACACACAAACAAACACTGTACCTTAGGGTAGGCGATGGCTGGCCCCCTCTTCATGAACAGCACGTAATCCTCCAGACTGGCCCGACGTATGAAGATGGGAACCCCCCTGAGTGTCCTCAGGAAGCAGCCTGCGGGGTGCCCGGCTATGTAATCATGCGGGATGAACCCCCAGTTGCCATGCAGACGTGTGCCCTTCTGAAGCTTGAACATCTTCCTGTACTCCACCCGCCTGTTCTTGCGATACTCAGCGACGAGCAGCTCCCCGAACACGAGCAGGCTCTCCCCAGGAAGAGTGGGTGGTGATATCAAACTTTTTTCCTTGTAATATGCTTCGTTTAACGCGGTTTCTGAAGTGTCCGGCTCCACAGCTGCATCTGATGCATGATGGGTCTCTGAGTCATCCTTTTTAGGGATTGCCGAGTGCCCACTTTCCTCTACCTGGGTGCTTGTGTCATCTGCAGGCTCTTGCAGGTTCTGCTCCCTCAGCTGCATCACCTCAGGGGTCAGGGCATCCTGGGGCAGCAGGCCACTGATCCTCTCCAGGGGGGACAGGGGTCGCCTCCTTCTGGACAGCAGCGTTTGCCTGGAAGTCAGTCTGGTGCTCAAGGGTGAAGAGTCTGCGTTGTCTCCCTCATTCTTGTTACATTTAATCGAACTCGCTGCAAAAGTTCTTACGTCCCTCCTACATTTAAGGAGTTTTACAAGTAAGCCCCTGTTACTGAGATGTCTTTGACTGAATGTTCTGATCCTCACCAGTCTGTGCATAAACACAAGTCCAGCCAAGGGCATTTGCACAGCCATTATATCAGATTATGACACAATATATGAACTGAAAGTAAAGGCTATGTCCTTTGAATCCAGTTCACCAAGCAGTGAATCATAACCAGCTGGAACCTGAGAAAAGTTGGTTAATACAATATGAATATCTGCGAAATAAACAACTCAAATGTGAATAGAGCAGTAGACCTGCTTCCACTTACAGTATCCATTTACAGTCTAACAACTCGCGTTCCTCGTTCCTCTTCACCCGGATGTATTTACAGTGACAGGGGGTCACCATGCTGGCTGGAAACAAGACACACGTGAAGGACGTCATAACTGAGCGACCGGTGTAGTAATTTAGGTCCACCAGCAGAGGGCGATATCATAATGACACATTTTCTTATATTTAGCTCTTATGTGAAGCTCAAATAGGCAGAACACAGTAGAATTCAGCAGTCCTGCAGTGGGAGTGTGTCTTTGTTATTACATTTTCTGTCCCATAACTGGGAATACACTGCCCACTATTTGTTATACAGGAGCCACATGAGGGTCAGTGCCCACTTTGAAATACATAGCACACTATATATTTCAAAGTGGGAAACATACTATTTATTGTGGATAACAACCTCAAACGGCGCCAAATGTGTAAATCGATTTGTGTCTTCCCCTGGAGGAAATTGTGACTTCATAAAATATGTAAATGTAGCATGGCTTGGGTTATGTAAAATGCAAATATGAAGTGAATTTGACATCAAAATCACCCAATATAGTTGTTCGGTTCATTGTATTATTCTACTTATGGATTTAATAGAGAACTTCATTTGTTGTTGCTGCGTTCAAGTTCTCTAAAAAGTCGTAATTGTATTTTGGAATCCACATTTACAACCCAGTGGGATATCCAACAAAGTGTTGCAGAGACAACCACCTATTAATTGTATTATTTATTTGTAGCTGTAAAACTAATGGGAATACTTGAGCTGCGGTGTCAGTTGTTTTGTCAGTTTTGCTGTTGCTTTTCGAGTGAAAGTAGAAACAAGCATCGACCAGTTGTAAATTGTGATATTTACAGCTGCTACTGTGGCAGCTGCTTCCCTATCAACGTCGTCTGGTGATGCTCTCAATCAGAAGGCAGTAATGCAAAGTTAAAAAAGGATGCCAACTGTCGTAAAACCTAAAAAAAAATCGCTGTTAACGAGAACACTTGAAGGCAGCATGAATCAAGCTCGTTGTTGTCTGGTAGCAGCCAATGGGAGGGCGGTGCTCCTGACGCGCTAACGCGCATGTCCTCAGAGGGGCACACGTGGTTTGTGTAAACCACGCACGCAGACTCAAGCAGTGCTTCAGAAATGGCGGCCGATGGTGGCAGCTCTTCGCTGCAGCTACCCTGCGTTTTTTCACCCAAATCACGACAGTACTTAGCATTGTGTGCCCAGGATGGCAGACTTCGCATTTGGAACACAGATAGTAAAACACTTCACCAAGAATATGTGCCTTCAGCCCACTTGAGTGCCACTTGTATCTGCATATCCTGGGGACCATGCCGGACAGTCAAGGTACGTACTGCTGCTGTGGAATTCCCTGCTGTTAGCACTGTAGCTAGCGAGGCCTTAGCAGGTCTGTCTGTGATGGAGGTTCCTATAGAAGTGCACATATTTAAACAGGAAAATTGTCGCTATTCACAAAGAAAAGAGCTTAGAATACTTGAAGACCCAGTTTTGTGTTAATTCAGACGCTTTCCTCTATCTGACAGACTTGATTAACAGGGCTGCCACGTTAGCCGTTAGCTAGCTTTCAGCAGCTGCGCAGGACGCACATGTTAGTCCCACATGGTAGTCTAGAAAACACGGACAATGTCTTAATTATGTATTTCAGGGTGAACTAACTCTAAAGAGTACGTAAAGGAGCCACACTATTCCGACCAATTGTTTTACCCTGTGTTTGGACCGTCAGTACTGCAAATAAAGTCGTTATTTAAGTTAGCACTAGCACATCAAAGCTTCAGAAGCGTGAGCCACCATGACACTTCTAGAAAGAGAGATTCAGAAAGTTTTAACCAATTTATTAACCGTTCACAACAAGGCAAAGTGTTTAGTTTGACACAAATGCAAACACTGAAACTTTATTAAGCTTTTAAAAACAGTTTGGAGCGTGTATATTGTGAACATATTTCCCACAAATAGTGTCTGCTTACTTTACCAGCCATTAGGTTGTTCAGCAAGCTAACTTTAAACAATCGATGATTAGTAGCCAAAGACAGCATTTGCTTCTATCTGCTGTCAGTATGCTGGTGTAGACTGTCAAACCGGGTAGTGGTAATAGACTGAGAGTTTAACATGAGTGACGGTACAGCCTCCCATATAGTGAACTGAGCCCGTCTCATATATTTGTGTCATTATTTGTACATTTTACTCAATATTACAAATGTGCTGTCTTTCAGGAGGGACCTCAGAGGAAGAAGAGGAAATCGGAGGCAGGGCAGGTGGAGGAGAAGGCAGACCTGTTGGCAATGGGCACAGCGGCGGGTAGCGTGCTTATCTACAGTACAGCAAAGGGAGCCCTGCACTGTACCCTGGTGAGTCTGAGATTCAACACACTGTGGACATCCTGGCTTGTATACCATATCCTATAGAGGAGAAATCAAACGTAAGATGCTAAGAGTGCATTTTTTTTTTTCATACTGTGAAAGTTACTTCATACGTTTCCCTAAATGATGCCTTGGCATGTGGAGAACAGGAAATGAATTTCTATGAATAAAGATATTTTTGTGAAAGTAAAACACATTAAATGTAAGTATTGCATTAGCATTCAGTTTTTAATATCAGGATAATTGGTTTACCACTGCTAACTAATGTTTTCTGTCTCTGCCAGGATGGAGGCCATAGTGGGGGAGTAAATTGTGTTCAGTGGCACCCTGAAGACACTTTATTGTACAGCGGCTCAGATGATACAAACATTGTAGAGTGGGACCTGCAGACGGGCAAGGCGAGGAGGTGAGTATCTAGTTTGTTAGTAGAAATACAATGTTATTAAAAAATTAATACGAGAAAGAATGTGTCCAGAACTGACTAAACCAAAACACATTTGCTATATTGAGTCACATTATTATTATTATTATTAAGTTTAAAATCCAAATGTAATGCTCTTAGATTTATAAAGAGAAATATCTCACATGAAGCAAGAGCTGCAGTCTGTAGTAGAACCATGTGAAATAGGAAAGAAAGTGGGTCTGTTTTGAGTTTATCACACTTTAAACCACTGAACTTGTTTTCTATTTAATCCGTCTCAGACTGTCATGATGTGTTCTTGAAAGAACATTGTTTCCACGAATACATATCTTATGCCCCTTTTGCACTTTATTGTGATTTACTCTATAGCCGGGGCTCTCCTCTGTTGGTCCTGTTTAAACTGCTAAAACACACAGTCCAGTCATGGTTGTGCACTTTTGTTACAGAGTGTGCCTTTTTGATCACAAATGATCTTTGACATGTACAGATACAGGCTTGCAGAGAGCATAGCAACCAGACAGCATCTAAGTTTCATTTTGGCTGTTATTACAGATGGCTGGATGATGCCTTATGAAGCTTTGGCTCTTCGTTTCTACTTGTGCTAAAAGAGATTCTAAGATTCTATGGCTATGTATCTGTGCAATAGAAGTCTAAGAAGCCTGTGTGTAATAAAATCTGTAATACCTTTTGTTTTAATGTTGCATTAAATGTAAATATTATTGTACGCTGTTAGTTAAATAATTAATAAATGCATGCTTCATAAAGCCTAAATATAGAATATTTCTGCTGACACGAAATATGACTGTACTTTTTTGTTGCAGTTTAGGCCCAGTGTCACTGTGGGCTCTTAAGCCCTAACATTATGGTTGATATTTATGCAACATTATACAGTGAAATGCAACATTAATTAAATCAAATAATTGCTTTTATCCCATTATTTGGTATAAGTGGAAATATTTTCATACTTAAGATTATGATTTTCTAGTGTTTATCACTAATATGCCGGTCACATTATGCTGCCATACTTGTCAAACCTAACGAAACACTTTGAGGCAGCAGTGATGTTTGAAGCCGAGGACGTCATCAGTAGGGCTGCACGATATAATACTGTGATTCATGATTATGTGGTAATGAAATTTTTGCATAAATGGAATTTTCACCCAAAAAAAGGATTAACATGATGATGTAAAATGTTTGCAGCTGTATCAAACAAATGTTTTCTTAAATCTCGAGAATAAGATTTGTAGCAGCATCTCTGAAGAACTACAGTACTTCAGTATAATGCTGTTTTGTCACACATTTTACCTTTATCAAAACAGTACAGCTCAATAAATAGCTAAATATGTGGCCTTTGTTGCTCTTTGTGTAATAACATATGACACTAGTGGAAATCCTTATTTTTCCTTATTTTATGCAATAACATCTCCACCAATCGCACATATCTGTGTACGATATCTGTGGATAGAGGGATGTCAGCATGGAGCTATTGTCACAGAAATTTAAGAACAGAACTTGGGTGACCCTGTTCATCCCAATCACATTCCAACAGCCAGGACCAAAGCATCTCTACTAACTTAAATCACTGGTTTTATATGAAGGTTGTGGGAAATAGCCATGTCAGATTGGCTGTCCTTTAAGATCATATGAAGTAACTCAATCTGATTTCATCGTTAAACCAACCTGAAACTGTCTCTTACCAAACCCGTATCCCTCAGTGAAGCATGGTAGACAGTGTTATGGTCCCTGTAATGAATGGACTCTCTTACTTTTTTTGCACCTTGACTACTTAGCAGTAAAAGTATTGATTCTAAAAAGACAACAATTCCAAGCTTATAAGTAAATCTAACAAAGGTGAGTAGTGGTTCAGTGTAAAGAAACGTTGTTTAAAGTCGTGTAAATGTGATGTGCAGGAGGTGTACTTCTGTAAGGGGCAGTAGGTGAAAATCCTCCCAGGAGAGGAACAGGCTGGCTGTAAGAAACCTTTTTATGCAGTCAGTTCTGCAGAATGGAGGGCCATAAGTTGTGGATTGAGTTCATCCATACACGAAGGGATATCTGCTTTGATAGAGCAAAGGATGTCTTATTATGGCATATTGTTGCAGCCTTCAAATGGCACACGTTATTGCTTTGCTCTTATTGTCTCTGCTTCTCCTCACGTAGAAAAGACAGTTTAAAAGAGCCTAATGTGGATGCAACCTAATGCTTCAAATAGCCGGCTCTACCACATAAGTCAGGACCTGGCACCTCGCTCACAAGCACTAAAATACATCAACGAGCCATATCACTGAAGGTTCTAGAATAATGCATTTAGTATCACTGTATTTCATCATAAACACCCTTTCTCCAGTGACTGATTCAGTAGTGGCACCGTCGGTGGGTACAATCATGGGCAGTAATGTCTCTATGAATCCTCACTTGATGCTCACTAAAGCCCATTTGTGGTCCACAAAATGGTTTGGAGAGTGGTGTGAGTGTTTTGGACTTTTTGTACTGCTATCAAGTCGAGTGGAATAGTAAATAGTTTGCTGTTGAATGTAGCTGTAAAGTTTCAGGCTCTTCACATATAAAAAAGAGCTTAATAATAATAAAACATAATGGAGGAAGTGGTGTTTGGATCTGACAATGGAGGACAAAACAAGTCCGTTGGATGCTCTACATCTGGTTTAATAATGTCATCAAGAGAGGAAATAGAATCCCATAAAAACAAAGTTAGAAGATAAACCTTCACCAAAATACATAGACATCACCAACAGTCATTGTCTCTTTGTTTGTGCACAGTAAGTGGAAGGCGGACCGTGCAGCAGTGACCAGTCTGTGTGTGAGCCCTGATGGCAAACTCCTGCTTTCAGCTGGTCAGATTATTAAGATGTGGGACCTGGACACCAAGGAGGTTTACAGGGTGAGTATCTTGTCTACACAGCTGCTTTCTATTCATATTTGTCATTCAAAATGAATTGGTTTAATAGACTAGACTTAGACTTAGACTTCTAAGTCATTAATTGTATGAAGTCCCTTTTTAAATGTGTTTTTGGGAAAAACTTTATTGATCATGCTATAACACTACACAATGAAACCAACAAGAGACCAATACTGATTTTCTTTCATATCTTTCGTACCTTTTTTGCGAGTTTGGAAGTAAATTACACTCATAGTGCTCATAGAAAGTCTTAAGTTTCACCAGTTGAAACCTGCAGAAACCCTGTTTATGAGATCAAGGATAACTATTATGGGTTTTCATGTAAATATACTGGAAGCCACACTCTTAAATAAATTGGTCCTACTAGTTATTCAAAGTAGTTAAAAATCATGCCAACAAGCCATTCAGGCCTTTCAGAAAAAGAATTACTCTTCTAAAACAGTCAAACATGGGCCTGGTTTTTCAAGCAGAATATCCTCAACTGTACTGCTGATGGTCATTGTTCTCTCTGCAGAAGTTCACAGGCCACTCCACAGCTGTGACGACCCTGCGCTTTGCCACCACGCGACCCCCCGACAGCAATGGTCTCTATTTCCTGTCTGGTGCTGCACACGATCGACTTCTCAGTGTTTGGTGAGTGCGCACGTAACAGCCAGAGCTCATTACACGTCCTTTAACATGTTCTGCTGTTGTCTGGCTTTTATTGCTGATCATATTTTCATGCAGCTGACATGAAGTTATCTCACTGTAGGCAAGTACGAGAGGACGGAAAGGACAAGAACTCAGTGGTTTCCTTCACACTGACGGACGAGCCACAACACATTGACCTCGTCACGTCCAACAGCAAGGAAGAGGTCAGAGTGGAGCAATGTCTATTACTGCAATGAGGCATTGATTTGTACTGAACTGTATGTTAAGCTCTATGAATCAAATAACTGTTCATCAAAGCTGTTACAACGTGGCAAAATGATGGTTAATAGTAACTCTGAACTAAGCATATGGGTGCAGCTATTGAAATGGCCACTGTGAATATGCATCCATGTTTATTTGGGATTTAAAGATGCTTTAATGTGGTGTAATTATGTTGGAGCTCCACAGACTATTAATGTTTACATTACCTATTTACCATATGCAAATGTTGTTTGTGGTGTTTTTGTTTTGCACAGGCGCTGAGGCTGGCAGTGGTGTGTAAAGATGGGCAGCTGCATCTCTTTGAGCACTTTTTAAATGGGTAAGGCCTTAAAACACTACATACTGTACTAGACAACATATGGCAGTGAAAGATAACTATATGAAACATTTGGGCACTTAGTAAAAGCAATTAATTTGTTTTGTATCAGACAGTTTGTATTCCAATTTTAAGTTTTGATTTGTTCTCTCCTGAGGTTGTCCATCACTAAAACAAAACTTTTTATTCTAATTTAGCAGCGTCACAGCTGAAAGGGTGGGTGCTCTTCTCTGACAGCTCAACTCTAAACTGCACTATTAAGACAGCTGTATTTTTTGATGCAGAGCAAATCCATGAATACTGAAAGTAATTTTAATATTTGTTTATTCATATTTGTTGAGACACACTTGGTATTTGCGCCCCCTAATGGCTGATGGAGGGCATTGCCAGCAGCAGACACTAATAAGAAATATTGACCCCTCGTTCTCTGCAGGAATTCAAAATTTGGATTTTCTGGATTGTTGAATAATAAATGTCATCTAAAACATTTCATTCACTGTTCTATACTCGCTGTGCTCATGGCCTGTCTAAACATCTGTCCCCACAGGCCCTGTAAGAAGCCCTTGTCACCTTCGTGCACGGTGCAGATGTCTGACACAAAGGACTCCCCAGTGCCCATCCCACTGCTGGCTGCTGCCCTCGGAGTTGATACGCGGACTGTGATGCTGGCCTACGGCAACCACCTACAGCCAGTCATGGAGAAAGTGGTATGTGTTTCACTACTAGGGTTACAAACCATGACCTTTTGCTTGGACAGCCATGTTTTGTACAGCTGATAAGATAGAGGTTCTTCTGCATATGGTCTCTACAGAGACGGTCTATGTTCTTGCACTGTATAAGCAACAGGACAAAAACAATCCCATTTCCAGGAAGTCTAGGTTGAAACATGTTTCTGACTTGTATTCCACATGTTGGATAATAAGCTTTCCTGTTATTGGATCACTACAGTACCAAACGATCTGTTCTCATTGGGTTATTTCCAAACATGTTTTTGTTCTATTATATTTGGACTAAAATGGAGTTTTAGTGAGAAGCAAGTAAGATTCATGGTGACATTAAGGTTTGACAATTTGGGTGCACGGCTACTAAATGAATCACAGGAAATAGTGCTGTGATTAAATACAGTAATACTACATGCTTGACAACATGTAGTATTATGGGAGTTTTTTCCACTTGTGTTCAGGTTTTACTCTAAATAGAATACATTCCTAATTCTTTTTGGTGAATTGTTACGTAAAGGCTGTTCACCAGCTTTGTTAGCATCAGAGGAAGAATGGAAAAATCTGTGTTGATCACACTCTCGATCTACCTTCCTCTCATCTGTACAGGAGATCAACACAGCAGAGAGACACATCTGTTTGACCCGGGATGTTCAGACCAGCTTGTCTCTTTCCATGGAAACCGCTGTTTCCAAGGTAACAATCAAGTTTTATCTTCTTTCATAAGAGTCAAGAATACCAGTGTATTCCTGCCATGTTGTCTAGACTGTATAGAACCTTATTTGCCAATGTGTCCACTGTAGCTATTTTCAAACTGTGACTGAAGATGATAATCTGAGATCTGTTGCCCATTCCAGGTGAAAACTCCAATTGTCAACACCAAGAGCAGAGTGTTGGTCCCAGGGCTTCCTGGTCATCAAGCCCCAGTCAAGGGAGCCTCACAGGGATCAGAGAAGAGGAAAAAAGACACAGACACCAAAGAGGTGGGTTCAGTGTCATCAACAAGAAGTGGCTCACTCTGGTTCTCATTCTGCTGGCTTTTTGGTACAGTCCAAACAACTTGAGGAGCCAGAACTGTTTGCACCACGGTGTTGGTACTAATCATACACCAATCTTAAAAAGCCAGATATAAAGAGGACACTGTTTTTAACTGTAAGAGCAGTGTGTTTGCTGACAGTATACTGTGTCTGCATCAGTTCCCTCTTTTTATATTGCAGTTGTTGGACACATCATTCATTTACTTAATTGCCGGACCAAGTCTAATATTGCCACTTGGCTTTTCTTGCTTTCAGACAGGTTTTATGTGATGTGGTATTAAACCTGGGTAAATTGGACGGATAAATTTGGTGTGTGTGAACAGGTGTCAGCCATTTCCAGTTGACCGAAAACATCTCTGTTCTCTTGTAGATGTCGATAGCGGAGCGACTCGGTGAAATTGATCTGTCTTCAGTCTCCATCGAGAAGGGAGGCCCTAAAGGGACAGCCTCTTTACAGACGGACAATTTTGCAGTGCTGCTGGTGCAGGGCCTGGAGAGCAGCGATGCAAGCATCCTAAATGTAAGTGTTCTTCTCAGTCTGTGCTCTGAAATAAAACATTCAGTGCAGTTTGATGAAAAACCAAAGTGAATTTCCCAAGTTTGTTTTACTACCAGTAAAAAGTTTAATTGTTTTGGTTGTGAGGATTTTAACCCTAACTGCAAAGGTCTTCCATAAGATCAAACTTTTAGTTTTAAGAGTTATGCGATTTGACATGCTGATCTACTGTAGTAGTAAACATAAACCTCTACTTGAAATTTGTCGCACAACTTGTCGTTTTTCCCTCCTACAGAAAGTTTTCCAGACCCGTAAAGAGATGGTGATAAAGAAAACAGTGGCTCGGTTACCTCTTCCTGCTGTTTTACCTTTGGTGGAAGAGGTGAGCATCAGTTTTCTATGCATTGTGCAAACCACTCCATATTCCTGTGGCGTGTCAGTAGTATTTTTTGGTTATCGTTGAGACACCAGTTACTGTTAGTAGAGACTACCAGATCTTCTGTCACACTATAAGGATTCTAAGTGAAGTAGAGCTGCAACCATTAGTAATTATTCTTGCGATAATGCCTAAAAAAGTTTTCAGCCTCTCAAATGTGGTGCCTTCCTGCTGTTGTTTAACATTGTATTAAACAGAATATCTTTGGGTTTTTAAATGACAAAACAGGACATCTAAAGACCTCATGTTGGACTTTGAGGAACTGGGGTGGCTGTTTTTATTACTATTTTGACACTTTACAGACCAAACAATGAATGGAATAATTTAGAAATTATTGGGCAGATGAGAATAATTGTTAGTTGCAACCCTAAAGTGCAATTGTGGCATTAACTTGTTGCAGCAGTTTTTTAATCGGTGCTTCATCTCTCTTTCTGTAGATCACAAAGAGACTCCAAGGGCATCCTTTTACGTAAGTTGAAGCTTAGCAGATCAACTCTAATCATGTAATTGGCTTATTGGCTGTTTGTTCACATCAGACATCAGTAACTAATGGTGCTGCTTTCTGCTTTCCATTAAAAACCCTATCATGTGGATATTTACAGTCAGGCATTTGTGGTTCCCACTTGACAGCATATCCATTTGTTCCTTCCTACAGGGCAGTTTTAATGGTACGGTGGCTCAAGGCTGTACTCATGCACCACACATCATACCTGGCATCGGTGAGTTCACTTTACCAACATCACATTCTGTCTTTACTGCTGACTTAAAGCCACCTGATTGTTGATGCTTGTTTGACTTTTACTCCGTAGCGCCTTCTGTACAGACGCACACTTTAAGCTCTCCAAGGTCCAAACAATGTGTATGTGATTCCCCTCAGCAACAAAAGCATATAAACCCACACAACACAATGCATACCGCGTCCCTTTGACGACATTCACCTTTAATCTTTAGATCTACAGTCATTACCTCCATCACACAGCAGAGATTATGTGACTGTCCCCAACCGTTTGGCAATATGTGACCAGAATATCATAGCCAGCAGCTGCACACCTTTTACTGTGCACTATGATGCTTAGAAGAGGAAACCTATTGAAAAGCCTTTATCATAGTACCGTCAGATGGCTAACATTCAGATCTTCAAATTACACATCCCCTGACCGGTAAGGTTATACAGACAGAGCATTTGCTCTTCAAACGGAACCCAGGACATTTCTACTCAACCTACTATAAGGTATTGTCCACAATTTTAATGTGAGGTTAGGTCTCCATCAATATGAAAGCAATAGTTAATGAGGGAGACGAGACCTTGGCCGAGGACTGCTCATCGATTGCTGTCTTGTTTGTTTTCTGCTGCTCAAATGTTTTTACCTTTAACTGATCCATCTGTGTATCCAACAGCTGCCAGACCTGGTTACCCAGCTAGGAGTCCTTTATCACATGATTGAGAGCAGAGTGAAGATGTTCCACAAGCTAACAAAGCTGCATGGGAAACTGTATCTCCTAATGACACAGGTAGGCATCGTCATGTTCAAACATAAGCACTCTCTTTGCCTTGAATTGTTTTTAAATGTCTGGACTGTGACTTAGTATGTGAAGTATGAATTGGGTAGTAGGGGTTGTTTAGATCCACTGCCTAATGATGTTTTAGTGCCCATAGTGCAAAATGTCCTCTGAGCTTACTGTTAGAAACTCGACTGTGAACTAGTTATAAAACATCAGCTGTGTGCTGAGAGGAAGGTTGCATTTAGATACTGAAATTAGGGACTGTCAGTAGAGAGTGGCATATAGGGGGAATTGTATCA